GGATACAAGCAGTCCATTACTATGCATAGCACTTCATTCAATAAGACGAAGGATATTACCAATACCTTAGATCAAGATGATGCTGCAGCCATTGAAATCAGTGGGATATACAAATTCAGGCCTAGTCAAACATCTTGTGCAAATTTCATCTAACTTCAGTTTTTTGGCTAGAGATATTAAAGCATTTGAAAAAATAGATGCACTTTTGGCTGACTACATGCAACTCTTGGAAGAATTTCATGACTGACTTCATAGAGGAGAAGGTGCACTGGAAAAGAAAATTCACAACAGATTGAAAGTATCGATTCACCAAAAATCTTATTTTAACACCAGCAACAGTCTGATTTTTCATGTGGACATGGACAAATGTTTTCAACCTAATTATAGGTGTTAAATTTTTTGTTCTGTATTGGAATTTGAAGAAGAATGATATAAAATAGAATAAAAAATTGAAGACCTGAATCAGATGTATAATTAGGTTGAAAACATTTGTCCATGTCCACATGAAAAATTAAACTCCTACTGGTATTAAAATAAGATTTTTGGTGAGTCAATTAAACAATCCAACTTATAGAAACAGTTGGTGAATTGGAAGTATTCTAAATGAAAACCTAGACTACCAGACATTGCTCACCATTTCAAAAATTTTGAAAGAAGGTTTTCATATAAGTGACTTGCCAATTGAATTTAGTATAGTAGATACCTCCAAAAACTTTTCTTTACTTTGTTGTCACCACTGCATATTCAAATATTCAGTAGTGACATCACATGACATAGAGAGAAGTTTCTCCAGGTATAAAGCCATTCTTAGAGATAATAGACAGAGCTGTGTGTTTGGAAACATTAAAATGTATTTTGTGTGGCACACTGCAAAATGTAATAATGAGAATTTTCATTCTTTTAATAGTATATATAAAGGTACACCACTTACTTTGTATGTTTTTTTCACCTAAATTTATAAGATAGAAGTGTTTCAAAAAATTTAGTTTGAATGTATATTAATGCTATTACAAATAGTGTTATTATTTAATCCAGAGAAATTATATTTCTTATCTAAACTATCATAAAATGAAAATTTATGAAATCAACTTTCTCATCTTTAGAGTTCAATAAATTTTAAATTTTAGAACATAGTTTAAACATTAATATATTTCAAAGTGCTTATTATAATTTGCTAACATTAGCATTGTTGTTCTAAAATTCTGAAATAGAAGTGTCTTTGTCAACTGCAATTTTTTCTTGAAAAATAATTAAACTTTACAATTCAAAATATGCATATAATAGGACAGGTCTTTCTGCATCACCTTGGCAGTTTCCAGTCTTGTCTCCTGACATGCAGTGGAATTATGGGTATTCAAACATGGCAAGTTGTTCTGTCAATTTCCAAGCTGGAGAAACACAAGTATGATTCAATTTTTGTGAACATCTGGCAAGAATAAGAACAAAATGGTACGAAGTATTATTAGTGATTTTAAACATGTTTTAAATGTTATGTTTCCTGATTCTATAACAGCAAATTTCTAATTAGGAAGGACCAAATTGTCATATTTGATCACTGAAGCATTATGACTTTATTTTAGAAAATAATTTTTTCTGATTCTAGGAAATCATATTTTACTTAAATGTTTTATGAAATAATGAACAATGCTGATAAAAAGGAACTCCATATTAAATTAAGATTTTGGTCAAAAAAAGTATGGAATTTGGTAAATATTAAACTGATTGAACAGAAAGGAAAAAATCTATTAGCTATTGTATCATTTAATTCTTAATACTTTCTTTAAAGGCCAACAAGAATATAGTGATTCAGCATGCAAATTAATTTATGATTTACATAATTTTTTTCAAGATGGGAAGATTATGATATATCATAGAAGACAAATGTATCAAAGCAATGCTTTATAAAACATGTACCAGCAGATGACTAACTATTGGATCTGTTACTTAGAGACTTTTAGAGTAGTGTCAGCAGTTAAAGATTATTTTTCATCTTGTTCCAGTGCATGGTGATAAATTTACAAACTCTGACAAAGATAAAATAACTGTAAAAATCATAAAGTATGTTCATATTAAGGCTGAATTAAGTTTATTGTAGAGGCATTGGAATTGTATTTATGTTTATGTATTTATGGTTTTATGCTTCATTGAATTTTCCTTGATCACTGATTTACATGCTGAACAAGGAACTTTGTCATGCTTAAAATCATTGCATGCCAGATATGTAAACTAAATAGTATAAATATTAAGCTTTTTCCACTATTTGACAATATTTAATCACTTAAGTTGATTCCTATATGAACAGCCAAACATGTCTTTTAGTTCATTTATGGTGACTCACATATTTACTTGAACAGCTTCTTTGATATAAAGAATGAGCTTATTTGAAATTGATGGACAACTACAGTATTTCCTTTCTGATCACAAAGATATCCTTTTCATAATCAAATTCTCAGTACCAAAATTGTACTTACTGCTTAGACATTATAACATTTTCACACATGGTTGCCAACTTATAAATCTCACATGATAAAGGCCCCTTTGACTATGAAGGAAAGTGCAGAGCACAAGAGAGGAATCCATAAATTAAATTGTGCTCTGCACTTTCCTGTTTTGAATAGTCTAAATGCTATGGCATTTAGACTATTTAATGCATGTCAACCATGCATGCTTCTCAAAACATGATTGAATTTGATGACCAGACCAACCATCAGATGCCATGACAATTCATTGCAGAAGGAACATAAAGCTTTTAACTGTTAAAACATTTATGTTATTCCCTGCAATATTCCCTTAAAAAAGTTTGGGAAAGTTAATTTTTGATAAACTCTGTAGCTTGAATCTTATCATCAAAATAAAAATATACATACTTATTAATATGAATATTTTTTTTATTTACATGTGTTTAACTAATTTTCATATTTTCAAATATTAATTTTACAAAAAGTAATCATCTAAATTACTGTTTTTGTTTACATATTGTAACTAAAAAGAAACAAATGCTTTTAGAATCCCATTTTAAAAATTTTTATAATTATATTAAATTACACAGTACTAGACAGTTTCCATAAACATGAGATTACCGGATAAACTGGCTAGTTTTGACTTTGGTGTGCTATGGTACATCTGTAGTTTGCTATGCAGTCGCTTTTTTGGGTTTGGCATTTGTGTTATATGACACCAGTTTCAATATGACTGCTGGCATATTGTGTGTTAAATACAATTTTGTTCTTCACTTTCCATTGTTTATATTTTAAGTATATATTTGCCCATGTCCAGAAAATCAGAAATTAGATCTCTCTTTGTTACATCTTGCTGGATATTTGTTCAGTACTGTATTAATTTTTCTGTTAAAAGATTTTCTATTGAAGATGAACAGTAATGCTTGAGAACATATTTTTTCTATATTGTTCCTGTCAAATTAAAATTTTAGACTTTTACTTTGCACACTTTACCCCTTTGATTGGTATCTATACTTACTTAGGATCTATACTTCAGGGATCTATACTTAGCAATTTACTGTTTAAAGCCTACAATAATAAATCCCTTTCTTGAATTACCTCTTCCTTTGTAAATGCTTATGTTGATGACATAAAACTTGCTAATTCTTGTTGTATCTTATTGCAACATGATATTGATGATCTTAATGCTTCATTTAAGACCTTAAACTTACAAATTAATACAAGTAAAATCAAAACTATGATTTATAGTCTGGTTAGAGCTTATCTTCACAATACTTTTTATATTAATAACCACATTATTGATGTAGATGACACTGTCCAGGATCTTGGTGTCATTTTTGATTCAAGACTTTTGTTCAAATATCATATAGAATTATTAACTAAAAAATCTCAATCTGTAAGAGCATGGAGAAATTCCAATGCAATTTCTACTAAAAGTACACTCTGGGCACTCTTTTATTTTTTTACTAATAGATTATGCTCTACCTATTTGGGCATCTGCCCCTGCTTCCCCCTTCCATTTTGAATAAATTTCACAGAGTTAAGGTCTACCTCGTCTTAAATAAACTAGCAAACCTTCCTTTAACTGATTCTCTTGAAGTAGCCTGTGTCCACTCAGGTTCTCTTTATTTTTATAAACATATCGATTATTTTGATTGAATTTATTCCTATAAATATTTTAATGGATCTCTTTTCTAGATTTCTTTTTATATGTGTTCCTTCTTTTAATTCTCAAGATACAGCATGTTTGTACTCTTCATATGCTTGTCTCAATTTTACGCTTAAAATTTTCTTCTTTAAGTATCAAAAGTATGTTACAACTACAGTAGAGCGTCGATTATCCGAAAGCCAATCATCCGAAAGAATTCCAGTCGGCAAATTTAAATTTTCGCCAGTGCTGTGGCGCTGCAATCTTTTGACCACTCAAATATTTTACGTTTTTGATACTAAATTAACTTCTGAAGTATAATTTTTTATGTTTTTATATTTTTCAATATATTCATTTTGTTCGTACAAAATAAAAAAATAATTTTTAACGATACAATAGTCTTCGTTAGGCTTAACATCAACGAAAATTCAACGAGAAGCGACACCCAACGGAGAAAAATGTCAAGATGGGATAAATTAATATATTTTTTCATACATAATTGGTTATCCGAAATATCTATCTTCCGAACAACCCCAGTCCCCAATTGATTCGGATAATCGACGCTCTACTGTATTGAAGAATTTTACTTTCTGGATTTTCATAGATTTAAATACGTCATGTAAAAAAACTCATCTATGTTTGATCTATTTTTGCCAATTTTTATGCTGTTCGCAAAAAAAGTTTTTTTTATACGTTATACGTGTTTAATTTTACTCTTTGGATCGTTAAATATTTGTTATTAGGGAGTCAGCCATTATTGTCATTATGACATTGCTATAAGTCATTATAAATAAATAAATTTTTAGCCAATTTGCTGCCCTATGGTATTCCTTAATAATTTAGATTTTATGAAATGAAAAATATAAGACTAAAACTTTTTATGTTTATTACAGCCTGAAGAATCCATGTCTTCTTTAAAATCTATGGCCCAACAAGCAGTACTCAATGCAGGTCTTGAGAACAGATTGCCTCCATCACAGTCACTGCCTTCTTCAGATGGAGGTATTTTTAATCATATTCTGCACAATGCCTTTGAAAAAAGTAACTTAACTGCTATTTGAATTTCAAATAACATCTTTCAGTAAGTAAAAATAAAATAAAAGTTTTAAAAAAAACCATATACTTTTTTATTTTAATAGGATTATATGAAAACAATAGTAGTTCTTTAAGCTTGCAAGGAAAAGTTGTTCAACCTCCATCAGTTACCCCCACCACTCTGACAACGGAAGCACACATACCTCCATTACTTGGTGTAGCCCCTCTTGGACCAGTACCCCTGACCAAAGAATGTTTATATCAGTTACGAATGGTAGAAAATTCAGCACGTCACATGCCACATCCTTCAGACTCTGAGAGGTTTAGGTAAATATTATTAAATCTTTTTGATTTATTAATCATGAATAATCATACAAGTTTTCTAAATATAAGCAACTTTTAAATATATCATTTAAACAAATTCTAGTGTTATGAAAAGTACAAGGACAATTTAACTTTTATCCAGAATTTCAGTAATCGCAGTGGAATTGTGTGTGTTACATAGTCTCAATTTATGTTTTGTCCCCTTCATACACTGGTACTTTTCCAAACCATTTTTTTGGCAACAATGGTTTGCTTGCAGAATAGAAGTACAGTCAAGTATGATTATAACACATCTGCTTACAATATATTAAAATTTTTTTAATATATCAGAGACGGTTCAGATATGGCATACCTGTTAGAAGAGATATGATGGATTGCAATAGTTTGGCCATCCAATATGGTGCAAAAATTCAGTTTTATTATCCAATTACCCAAAAACTTTGTAAGTGTTAATTGGAAGAATAAAACTGAATTCTTGCACCATATTGGATGGCCAGACTATTGCAATCCATTATTTCTCTTCTATATAGGAATGCCATATCCAAACTTTCTTTATCTAACTTGAAAGTTACTTAATAATAATAATTTACACTTTATAAGAATGTTGTTTTAATTTATATAAAACAGATTTCTACAGTGTAAAGTTTTAAAAATGAATCAAATAGATCAACATGATAATGCCATCATATTTAGTTCTGGTTTTGTTAGCACTTCTGATTTGTCTTGATCTGCTGAATAGACAGTATTGTGACAGTAAAGCTATTTCTGCTTATTTTCATTTGGAAATTTTGCATTTTATACAAACTACTATATATATTTGCATTACTAATTTTGGATTACAATACATTATCCTGTTGTTTTCCTGAGTATAATTACCATAACTGTACTTTCATAACTTACTATATAAAATAAAATCAACTCTATACATTTTATTTATTTATTTATTTATTTTTTGTTTTACTCTATTTCAAATATTTAGTTTAAAGAAATAGCAATTTCATTTTAAAAAATGCTGATTATTCAAGATATTGAAAATCATGTAAATCATATAATGGTGTTGCAAAAGAATGAGATTTATCTAAGCTGCAGTGTAAGGAATCACGAGAAAGAAAGCATTCTTGAAAGTTATAGATCAGCTGATATGAACTGCAAAAAAAGTGGTTTTCAAAGCATGAAATCATCAAAAGCCAAATTCCCCAGGTGTTTCAAAAGGGTCAAGTCACTCATTATATATATTGCAAATTGTAAAGCTTGGATGACCAAAAAAATCTATGATGTCAGATTTAAAATGAAATTGAGAACTGCAACAGAAAAATCCTCTCGATTATAGATTATTGCTCTGCACATACTAAGATGAAATTGTCAAACATTAAAATTAGCTTTCTGCCACCAAATTGTATTAATTGTAAATTGTACCTGCTGGATCACAGAATGATAGAGAATTTCAGTTCTCTATTGTTGTCACTCCACCTGTTACAGCAAATAGTTGCAGAAATAAAGAAATCACATGCTGGTATGACCAAAGTAAGTTTGTTAGATAGCATTATTATACTGCATGTGCTTAGAAGATCAATGAAGAAATGATCCAACATTAAAGGAACAAAATGCTGCAATCTCTGAATCAGTTACATCTAACACTAATCATGAGAAATTATGGGAATCAGTCAAAAATCATTCTAATTTGTAGACCACACTGGAAGAGTTTTTAACTGCTAATAATAGTGTCTTGCAAGTTCAACTTAATGTGAACTGAAAAATGGAAAATGAAATGAAATGGAAATGAAATGAAAATGAAAAATGTGAATGAAAAATGAATGTTTTATAGCATAGTGATGATGCTAGTCTAAATAGCAGAATTTTCATAAAGGTATTATATGTGTAAATTCATATACATATTAACTTCATATCAGTAGTGACTGGTTCTATTTTGTAGTTAAATTTTAATTTTAAAAAATACTGGCTATTCAGTGGCTACTTTTGAATTAGTAACATTTTGTAACAACCTTTTCGAAAAAGGATTATGTTCTTTGTTAAAACATGGAATTTATGCTATTATCAAGTGCCAGTGAAGAATGATATCTCATTTGATTCTAGTGTTAAATTTTAGAGATAAATATTAGATTTTTATATATATTGAACAATGAGTTTTATGGATTGTCAAGTTATTGAGAGTTGAGTTTCCAGGATTCTACTGTATTGTCAATATTAATGACATTCTCTAACAATTATTATTTCTTCAAAAGATAACTGAAGATGACCATAATGCAGTAGAAATTTCACCGTCAGAGGCATTTGCTGTGTTAGAACATCTTGAAAGATACTGTATTTCATAAGAATGCAGAAAGCATAAGTTCTCTGTGAGCAGTCTGTGTTATTAAAACAAAAACAAAAAAACAATAATAATGAGTTTTTAAGGAATTTGAATTTTTAGTGATTTTTCACTTTGTACACATCACTGTAATTATATTTAGTATGTTTTTCAAGACCTTGTTTATTACATACTTTCAGTTATAACATACTCTTTAGTGTTCCCCTATTAGGTATGTTATAATTATTCTCAACTGAATTTTGACTTGTGTCAGAGCCACTGCATGATGAACTCTCTAAAGTCAGAGTTATTTATGCAATAGCTCTTGTTTCTCATGGCTTCTGGTGATAATTGAACAGTAGGCTGGGTGATCTAGAATTTCCCAAGTCTGTTGATTGTCTCTACTATGTGTAGAGACAATCAACTGTCTATTGTCTACTACTTGTCCCAACACTAGTCAAAATACTTCTATTTTACAGATATATTATAGTTGCCAAAACAATGGAAGGATGATACCTAGAAAAAAGACACCTAGTTCCATTTCCATTGCTGAAATTCCAGAGATAAGTTTAGACAGTACATATTTTATAGAAATATAAGTTATAAAAGTAAAGTACACTTCACACCAACATTTAACTGTATAATGTAATTACATTTGCGTGTTGTGGCATTACCAACGATGACTTTTAGAGTATAAACAAGTTCATAAGCACTTTTGATAGCATAAAGCTACCATTGTCGGGTGAACTAAACTGAAAGACCTCCCCGCCAATTCATATCACTTGTACAAGGTTGACGTTATTTCCTTATATCCATCTGTACCATGTTTCGAGGCCGTCGTGCTTGCAAATACTCTGCTGCTCAACTCAGGCTACCCAACATCACACATAATAGATTTATGTGAAGCTCTCTTTCTCATAACTGAAAACAATTACTTTCAATTTAATGGCACAATATATAAACAGACACAAGGAGTACCAATGGGTTGGTTTCCCACTATCATCTACATTGGCAGAGCTCATTATGTGGAACATAGAACTTCAAATTTTCAATGCCCCCTTGACCATCCAATATCCAATTATGTATTTGCATTATGTTGATGACATACTACTCATGTGGGAAGGCTCCACTAAAGGTTTAGAACAATTTATTCAAGTATTGGTCTCTGTTTATCCTTCTATCAACTTCACAGTAGAGAAAGAACAAAATGCCAGAATCTTTTTCTTAGATTAGAAATCCATACATCTCCTGAGCTCCTATTTTCTGCATGTCATAGAAACAACAATGCACTGCAAATTATCCCTACAACAGCCTTCCAACCTTTAAATTACATGAACTATGCCATAACTTCTCTTATGCACAGGGCTTACCTCCTCCCTTCCAACCAAGCACTAATGGAAGAAGAATTGCAATTCATTAGCAGAGCTCTGCAAAAAGCTGGATATTCCTGATCTAAATTCCATTTTCTCAAAATTCATGTCAAAAACAAGCTATTTCCACAGTCTTTTCTTAGTAACAAAGAGGATCTAAAAATAGCATATCTTCCAAAACCATTTTTAGGCCCCATCTCTCTGAAAATAGTACATCTTTTTAGAATGAACGGTTTTATTTCACCATTAACCATACAACGAACGCTAAGAAAACTGTTATGCAATGACAGAGATATTTTTAAATTTAATGAAAAATCTGGGGTCTATGAAATTCCACTAAAACATGATCTGTCAGGAGAAGAGACTAGCTACATAGGGGCCACAGCCAGAATGTTAATATCTTACATCCTAGAACATCAGGAGGACATCATAAACAGTAAACCATCAACGGAATTGACAAAAAAAAGTGCTTGATCAAGATTATCAGCCGCTCTGGGTCCAAAAAAAGTTACTCAAATGGTACAACAATCGGAAAGAATTATTTATTTGGGAGAACCTCTATATATCAGCTTTAACACCATGCAATGCAACTCTTGAAATCCCACAAATATGGACATTATTCAAGCAATCTAATCCACATCTCTAGAACATCATTATTGCTTTCTACACATATTTGGAGATATTACATCACTCATATTGCTGTTCAAAAGTTTTTTTTTTTTTTTTGAATTCTTATTCTATTTCAAATTCATGTTGGTATTCCATCCATGCGCATTGTATAATTTCATAAGTTGTTCGAAAGCTCAGAATTTGTAAACCAGTTGTATTTGATATTCACCTGACGATGGTAGCTTTATGCTATCAAAAGTGCTTGTGAACTCGTCTAAACTCTAAATGTCACTGTTGGTGGTGTAATTACGTTATACAATATAAGTTAATTCTTTCATTTTCATAAAATATTGTTATGCCTTTTGTCTTTAAGTATAATGAGATTAAAATTTATAGGGAATTTCTTTTGTAGATATAGAATAAATGTTCTATTTAAAATATTGATTTTTACACTATCTGAAAAATTTGTGGAAAAACACCATTATTCTAATAGAAAAATTTCCGATTTTTCCGTTAGAATTAGAATGATAGTGTTTTTTTGGTAGTTCAAAACAAAACAATAATTTTTAATGAAAAAATGTTTTCAACAGTATTAAATGCCCTATCATCAAATTGTAGAATATAAAAAATTTAAAATATAAAATGAAATTGGTTATTTAAGATGATTTGTTAATTAAAAATTACTGCTGGATTATAACAGCTTTTTAAATTATTTGGCAAATAAAATTTATAATTGTCAAATAATTAAATATTACAACATTGAAACATTAAAAAAGAACTTTTCTCATTTTTTATCCTGTGGAGTTGATTTCTTGTTAATTTCAGAACAGTGTATAATGAGCAATTTCTTATTGTGACATTGTCAAAATGCTCTCAATTTTAGTAGTGTCTTGTCCCTGTATGTTATATTTTTCCAGTTAACAACAGAGTCGTGCCAGTCATCTATCACTCCATTTAGGAGAAAATTTTTGAATTGAAATAATGTGACTTCCAGTTCAAACCTTAAGTTCATATACAGTTAATTAAGGTCTCTTGCCCCTAACCTTTCTATATATGGTCTTGACTTTCATCTATCTAACTCTGTTCTTCAGATTAAGGGAGGACAGACATCAGATGGATGCCAGTCTGAATTTATAGCTATCCAATTTTTGTAAATTGCCAACTCAATGAAAAATAATTTTTAAATTAAATTTTTGAATTTTGATAAAGTAATTAAAAACTTTTATACTTAAATTATTCATGCTTTTAATTTCTTCATTTACATGGATAGTGGAGAATCTGTTAAATTTATATTAAATAAAATATTTCATTAAGAAAGCAAATTATTTTTTTATAACAAATGTTATTTATACAAGAATTTAAAAAGGATTATATAATAATAATTTAAAAAATATTATCATTTACAAAGAATTACTTTAAGTTACAAAAAAGTGCATAGCATATTGAAAAGTAATATTTTACAGTTGGATTTCAAAAGGTGTCAGAAGTAGAGTTTCTAGTTTCTATATAGAAATTCCAACAATTTAGCACTTTCTGTAATAAAATATATTTTTGTCGGTTTTCAAAATTACAAAATCATCTCTTATATTTTGTTGCCAGTTTTTTTTTCAAGTTAAAAATATTTTAAATAAAAAAAAAAAACATTAAAATATTTTAATCACTAAATAATTAATTCAATGTTTGTATATTCAGGCCTTACCTTCCTCGGAATCTTTGTCCCGTGCCCCCTTACTATCCCCAGGGCTTACCACATTGTGATGCTGTGGAGTTCTTCCAGCGGCTCTCTACAGAGACATTGTTTTTTATTTTTTATTACATGGAGGTAATTATTATATCAATAAAAATATTTTAACATCATTTATACTGTATCATTACCATTGGAAAATATATGTTATGTTCTAAGTTAAACTTTAAGCTTGTTTATAAACTGTAAATATATGATATATTAAATAAAAATGTTAACTTTACAAAAGAGATATTTAAATAAATTTGGTTTTGTTGGATAACTTAAATAACAATACCTAATTTTTATGTTTCAGATGTTTATAACTTAAGATGCTTCTTCAGTTGTTTGTTAACCATTTGTTTTATTTATGAACATCCTAATGTTTGAATTTTTTTAAGTCTATATTTATTAGTGATATTTTCATTTCACATGGTTTTACTTTAGCCAGATTAATTTTTAGTTTAATTCTGCTTGTTTGAGTATGGAATGTAATTCTAGTAAAAATTTTTTGTTTTTTTAAATTTAGAGAATTTAAAATTGTTAGATCTCCTTGAACTGATTAAATATAAACAAAATATTTCTCGTAAGTAAATTAATATGATGACTTTAGCTTTGAAATGAATATTGGTTAATTTATTTAAATACATCTGTGGTTTCTAAATAATATAATTTTAAATCAAGTAATTCTTAAGATCATTCTGAATTACTTATTTATCAAAATATTAAATTTAACAAGCCATAAATATTTTTATTTTAAAATATTTTATTTCCATTCGTTTAATTATACATACATACAAGAAAGACATCGGCTGTACATAGTGTTTAGCTGGCAGAAAAGAGGGTAAGGGAAAGGGGAGGGAGAGGAGATAGACAGTAGAGAAAGGTAGGATCCCTCTGAATTGCGTACATAAGGCTACAGTATCTTCTATGTTTGATGTTGGCATGCAGTTTTTAGGCTGCAAGGCCATAGTACCCCAAAAGGTCTGAAAGAAAACCTGAGTGTAGCGAATACCAATAATTGAGTGCCACCACAAATAGCTAAGTGTATAAGTTAGTGCAAACTGGCTGTTAGTAGGAAGACTTACATCTACTTAATACTAATAAAACTGAATGCGATCATGAATCTTAATACTACTTAACAGCTAGACAGACAGCATGAAAAGCAAACGAACACAATGACAAACTAGACAAGACAGATGGACCGACAGAAGACAAATGAGCAAGACCCAAAATTATTTTTATTATTTTTAAACATTAACTTACTAACTAAACTAACCTACCATAACCTAGGATGAACCTAACCAGACAACTAAAGCTAACAAACCCTAATCTAATTTAACCTAACCTATCATAATCTAACTGGAAATCAAGCTTAGTCCCTAATCTAACTTACAACTAGGACTAACCAAATTTAGACTGAAAAAGGAGACAGAAAATAAGAATTAAAATACAAAGTTGAAAAGCAGCTATATACCGATAAAGTTGAAACAAAGCAAGGGAAAGCTAATTGCCATTGGAGTGAGTGCTTTCAACAGCCCCACTAAGGGATATGAATGTGAGTAGACGAGTACATTGTATGCATGTGAATGAGTTGGTGTGGGTTGCAAGGCCCTTCTGAATACCACAATTGCATTGTGGATTGTCCCCAAGGTTAAATCTATGCAGGTATTGCTTAAAGTTGCCATATCCTGTAAGTAGCTGAGTGAGGGTGTAACTAGAGTAAAAGTGGCAAAGAATCACAGTAGTGTCAATCTTAGGGATGAAAGTGTAGGTGAGCCTATCAGTAGTGTCATAGTCCCAGCTGTCTTGCCAGAGAATGAAGATTTGCTTCTTGACGTGGTTGTTGATGTACAAGGTAGGAATGTAACTGAAAGTACTAGTGACTGAAAACATTGCAGCTTGTTTGGCAAGACGGTCAGTGGTCTCGTTGCTGAGAACCCCGGCATAACCCAGGACCAACCCATTGGAAATTTATTCTAATGTTGTTGCCTGTTTGTGAATGAGGTGTATGAGATGGACAAGTTTTAAGTGGCTATCAGACTTTGCAATCCTGTGTAAAGCTACCTACTGTCAGAATAAATGCGATAGTGTAAGTAGTGTCTTTTGTCCTTCCTACACTTAATGTGAATTAAGCTCATGTAAATAGCTAAAGTTTTCACCTGTGCTATTGAGCAGTGTTTACTTAGACAGAAGCATTATGATGCTTGCAGCGTAAGTCTGAGTAACTACAAAAGCGGCACCCACATCGTCACTCATCTTGGGACCGTCAGTGTAAATCCTAAACATGGGATGATTACCTGGATTTTCGAAGTAAACGTCAGGGGCAAGCTGATGTGAAGGGTGGTAATCATAAGTCGGGAGGATATTTTGTCAATGCTGAATTTTTTGATATCATCGATCAAGATCAAACTGGGGGGAATCTTACCTACTCTGATCATTTTGTCAACATCCAAGTCACTATAATCTCACCAGAGTAAGGTGACAAGATTTTCCTGCCAAATAATGTGTGTAATTTCTAAGTCGATAGGGATCAATCCTGACATTACCTCATTTAATTATAACAAAAACCATTTTGAAAGCATAAGAAGTATAGTTACATTATGTAGATTACAAGTTTGATAATGAACTATAAATATATTGTTATTATACATTATACATATATTTGTTTATTTATTTTGTCTAAAATTTGTACTGAAAAACTTTATAGGGTACAAAAGCACAATATCTATCAGCGAAAGCATTGAAAAAACAATCATGGAGGTTCCATACGAAATATATGATGTGGTTCCAAAGGCATGAAGAACCAAAAACAATCACAGATGAATATGAACAGGTATACATTTTCTTCTTATAAAATTACTTTTTATTTATTATAAGATTTGTGTTACATTACATATGATATGATAGCAGTATTTAAAATTGAATGTGATTAATTTAATTAACTTTTCACAGTTCACAAGATGATTGATTAGTTCTTTCATAAATGGTATTTATATAATATCATAAATGAAAGAAATATTTATATTTGAAAAAAAAAAGAAATGTTATTAAAAATTATTGTTTATTAATTGTTTCCCATTAAATGTCATGAACTTACTTTAAATGATATTCGTTAACTGTGTAAACAGAACTTCAAAATTATCAATCTATATTGTTATTAATTGGTTTTATTGAAATTAAATTAATTATAAACTATTTTATTATGTAAATGTAATAAAAATGTATGTTTTATTGATAAATAATTTACTGTAAAAGCATTAAAAAAAATCTTAAATGTATGTAGTTACAGAGTTTTATTATGCATACAATGGCTGTATCTTTAAAAAATTTTGACAAATTTCTGATTTACTCTGACATAAAATATTCATTTCTACAACTTGACAGTTGTAAAGTGATAAACAGTGGCATAGAGTTTAAGCTCATTTAACACGTGTTAAACTATTCTAAAATGGTCGAATATGAACTTAGCTGTTGTTATTCATAATATGCAATGATATGGGGCTGTTGTTTTCCTTAACAAACTCACATCATAAGTGTGTGTTAAGAATAAAAATATTTTAAGATGTCTTCTCCACCTTGTAGTAGATATCATAAATATTTAGTCTTCACTTAAACATAAGACATGAAAAAAAAATCTACATTTTGAAAAATATTTATTTTCTCCAGGGCAATAGATTGTAATCAATATGATGACACATGAATATAAAAGAAAGTCCTTGCTTAATGCTAAGTATGTTTAGTTACTGATATGATTAAATAGTACAATTTGATGTTAAAAACAGCATTTATGATAATGTAACTGTTGTGTTTGAGAAAGTTCAATATATATTCAATATTTCAATGAATAAAATTTCATTTTAACTCCATGATTTGCTTGACTTTATAAAATTGAAGAGTATATTTGATTCAATAATAATGAAAAAATTTGAGAGAAAGACATTTTGAATTCTTTACACATTAATCTAATTTTTATTTTTGAATTTACAATTGAATTAAATACTCAAAATATAAATAAATTCAAAAAGTTTTAATTAAAGCTTTCAAATCATCTTCTGTAATATAATTGTATAGTACAAAAGCACAATTTTTCTTAAAATGATTGTATTAAATATTTATATTAATTAAACTACAATAGCCTCTTCTTATATTGCTCATTCAGATATATGTATATATATATTTTTTCAAATATAAAAGCACTTTTGCCAATAATGGATAGATACATCAGTTATGTTTCCTCATATGATGTATTGCTCATTTGATTAGTCTCCTTACATGCACGATATAACAAGAGGCTACTGTGCACATATAATTTAAAATCATGAGATCATAAATGAAAAATAAACATAAAATCATAGTATTTTTTATTCTAATGATATAATAAAGAACTGTGTCTAAATTCTATATATTTATTATTGAATTTTTTTACATAAAATACTTATTTAGTTTTAATTTTTATATTTAGNAGAATTCCAGTCGGCAAATTTAAATTTTCGCCAGTGCTGTGGCGCTGCAATCTTTTGACCACTCAAATATTTTACGTTTTTGATACTAAATTAACTTCTGAAGTATAATTTTTTATTGTTTTTATATTTATCAATATATTCATTTTGTTCGTACAAAATAAAAAAATAATTTAAATTTTTTTAGGGCACATACATATACTTCGATTATGAGAAGTGGGGCCAAAGAAAAAAAGAAGGGTTTACATTTGAGTATCGGTACTTAGAAGATCGAGATTTGAACTGATGTTATATATCTTGGTTAAGGAATCTTGTACAACTCTCCCTCTTATTCTTGGAACAACAACCAAAAGTAACAGCTGACTGACAGCTATGGCAGTCCTAGGAGATCTAGTGAGTTGCAGGTCAACCGAAAAGCCTGACTTCTGCAATCAGAGCTGGTTTTAACTGCCTTTGTGTCCTGAATCTATCAGCAACTGAAGACAGATGACTAGCAGGCTTTTCTTGTCCTATAGCATTTTTGGATTTGTGCACAAAATGTAAAACCAAAATTTACTGTGCATCAGTTCTGTATAATTATAGAATGCAGTCCATGGTGTGCAGCTGTAGTATGGGACTGGGTTTGATATTGATTTCTGTTATAGTTTGAACTATTAAAGACTTATCACATGAACGGGAAGTACTCTCAGGAGTTAGGTCCTGCAATGCAGTTCTCACAGCATCCTGTTTATAATACCATAATATGGTCTATTTAATGGAAGGTCGGCTGTGGGGCAGTTGTTTCTGCCTTGTATAAGTTAAAGTTTGTATTATTTTGTAACCATTGTCATCAGAAACATTTTGCCTTGAATTCAGCTGGAAATTTGGTTGCTAGTGTGTATACTCATTGTAAATACACTCCTCCATGAGAGTTGTGCAGAACTCACTGTCCATGTCCACCTTTATCATCTGGCTGTTGGTCAGTCAGAATGGTTCTAGAAGTTTGGAATGATGCTTAGTTTCCCCTATGGCTACTTAATTCTATTAAATGGCCCAAAATTTTTGCTCGCCATCTCCCTGCTGGACAGAGGCAGTTGTGTGAGCAAGCTATCATTGCTTATACTTAAAAAAATTAGTGACATTTAGTATTTTAGTGACTTTAGATTTCTTTATTACTAAAAATTGTTATTTCAGTTTAAATTTAGTCTTGCCAAAACTGATTTTCTTTCTACTGTACAATCTTATATGTGATGTGTTTTATCAGGAAGACTTTTGCATTATATTTTCACAAGAATCAGTAAAGACAAACTTGTTTCTATCTGAGAATTGACTGGCCACTGTCACAGTTAAAAGAGTATTCATTGTTCTTAAATGTTTACTGTTAATTATGAGGGAGAAGATTCCAGAACAATTTTTCAAAAAATGAAAAGATAAAAAAAAAGTGAAAAAATCCTGGTCATTAGTTTCTGCCTAGAACAAGGAGTTGTGTTTTGGTTTTAGTCCTTCTATACAATGGCACACTATCCTTATTTTTGTACAGCAAGCCCATCGATGTTATGGGGTATCACTCTCCCGTTTTCTGTCTCAGCCAAGGGTAGAGGTACCCAATAGAGACGTTGTAAATATGTGGAGGGAACCCATGTTGGGCTTATAAAGTCCTGCTGAATAAAGGCAAAATAAACAAATCTTTTTTGTCCGTGCAGAAAAACGTGTCATGTTTTATTTTATTTTATTTTTTTTTTGTACATATTCATTGCAGATACACAATATCATTAAATGGATAAATTTATGGTTAAATAGACTGGAATTCATTTTAATATGATATTAATGTAGAAGCCCATTAAAATTAATTTATTACATTAATTTGGGTATATATATACATATATTTTGCAGCACTTCTTATTTTTAATAATTTCCTCAGTAGTATTTTTAATGCACTTCAGATATTTATAGATTGCTCAAATCATCCATATTTCTAATTATAAATTTAATTTTACTTGATTTTGTTAACCTTATTGCTGCAGTAAATACTTTTAATTTCAGTTTTAAGTATTAAATTATAAAATAGGAAAATATAGTAAGAAAAACAAATATTTTATTGAATAAATATTGTATTTTTATGCAATAATATATGGAATACAGTACAAAGTAAAGAAAAACAGCAATGCAATATAAACTCAGAAAAATGTGCCTGAAAATTATTTAAAAAAAAAAAAAGAAGAAAATCGTCGTCATTTCTTTGGATTTTGGCACTTTGTATTTGACATGAATTGAATGTTAAATTCAGTCTTCAAATTGAAAATCTTCAGTATTGCATGGGGCGATGTTAATCATGTAATCTTCAATTTTTTATGGAAAATGTATGAGTTACGATACATATACAGTAGTTTATCAAATAAATAGATTGAATTTTTAGAATTTTCAAGAGGATTTTAGAGATGATTTTTCAAGAAGAAAAACTAGAAAACTGTGGACTTTTTTAATTCAAGAAATGTACAGTTACAGAAAAAAACAAATTTGAATTTTAGATGTTTTTCCTGCGTATTGAGAAAAGTTTTGAACTCAATCTAGAAAATCATTTGTTTATATTTCATCATTTTTTTTATTATTATTATATTGTAAATACAGTATTATTATTCTTTACATATTGTAACAAATGAAATTCTAATTGAAAAGTATGTTATTTAATTTTAATTGTAAATAAAGTCTATAAAATATTTTATTGCACTAAAAATAATAATAATAAAAAAATAAAGTAAATTCCGTAGCTTTGTAGTTGAATAATACATCAATTAAGGTAAGTTTAGTACATTTTTAACTCTAAAAAGACAAATAAATGTTAACTTGAAAGTTAATGGATGTATACTGATGCAGCAATAAGGTTAAAGAAAAAATTTCTTTAACATAACTAAAATTCTAATTTTGTTCAACAGTCTTCTACTATATTATTATTATCGTGGTGCATCTCCATCACTATAATATTAATTGTAAATACTCTGTTGGCATCATTTTTTCATATGCAGCATCTATAAACTGGTGCAAATCATTTAAAATTTTATTTTAAAAGTTTTCCGCTTGTGTTGATAGACAAAATATGATCATCCTTTGCCTTGTGGCTGCTGCCAGTTTATAAAACATTCTTGGAATATGTAATAATGTTACTATAGAATATATCTCAAAAATTTTAATTTTTAAAAACAATAACTCGTATTTTAACTCAAATTATATATAATACTCAAAAGAATTATGTACAGTTTAATTTAAATATATCAATACAAATATAGATTGACGCTAATTGTCATTGATAGATTACTAGATCAGACTCGGTAGTTTTGTCATTTCATGTGTTTTATCTAGAACAATTGTGGACGTAAGTCCAAAACCAATTCTGCAATTAACATACGATTAACAAAGGATTGGATTGATGGTTTAAGGTAGTTTTTTCAATCCTTTTCTAATAGTGACACGCCAACTTCATCATTCTTCTTGCAGAACTTTTATTTCGCGGCACTCCTGAACTGTTGTGGCACCCCAGTTGAGAAACTACTGATTTAAGCAATGCAACACATTGACGATCAGCTAAGGGAAGATACCTCCTGTAAATACTTATAGGGAAATGCCCCTATTAAGTTGTTAGAGACACGAATAAAAATGCAGCTAGCCTGTGAGTGAGGCACGAACCTGCAATCTAAAGTCAAAGTTGAGGCTATTCTCCATGAGGTATCATAATCTGTAAGATTTGTAGTTCAAAAATAGCTTCATTGATTTTGTTCATATTTTATTTTAAACTAACTTAAATCTTTGAAGTAGTCAGAATATTAGCTTTTTTTAACGATATTGTCCCTAAAGGCTCCATTACAATCATTTTGAAACATGGCATCTTTCAGTGGCGCCTTCAGGATTTAACGTTGGTTAGCCGATCTGAACAGATAAAACGTTTTAATGCTAATTCAATAAAATTCCCATCTTATATCACCGCTAATTCATAAGTAGTGTGGAAATAGAAGGCACAGCATAATAAAAATGAATTAAGAAAATAATTTTGGAAAGTTTTCTAGTGTTTGCTTTTCTTTGGAGGGTGCCAGAGCACCTTAGTTCTTCTTTGGATGCTCTGATAAATTTTAGTCCTTTATGACAACAGTTTGTTGAATACTATAGCGTTTAAGATTTAAAACAATAATTTGATTCTGAAAATTTAGTTTCGTGGATCTGTAAACAAGACAATTGCTTTAAAGAACCGGCCTGTTAGAAGCTGCTAAATTAATTTAAATATTAAGGTAATTTGGAGCACATTGTTTATTTATTAGTGTTTTAAATGTCAAACGCTATTTGCAAGCTCGGAATTAGACGGTCAGGTGGCCAATAGACCAAGGTGGTAGACACCGCTCCTGGGGACCCGGAGGGTCGAAAACTTCCAGGAATTTTTCAGGTGATGGTCTGTCCGGATATGTCTGGCCCCCATTGTGGGCCAGGCCTAACCCATAATGGGTTTGCTTAAAGAGGCCCTCTTAGTGCCCACAGGGCAGAAAGAGTTGAGGGGGAGGGAACTTAAGGAATCTTGAAAAAATTTCAGTTTGTCCTTATTGCACCTTCCATTCACGTATCAGTGAAATAGATGAAAATTATTTGATAAGAGTACTGTACCTTACAGACAAATTATAAAATTGTTAAATATCTAGTTTATTGAATATTCATTCCAAATTAAATTGATGTGATCGTGAGCTAGGCTTTTGTAATAGTTTCTAGTAGGGCTGCGGAGTCGGGGTCGTGGAGTTTTGGTGTTTTAGTCGGAGTTGGAGTCGGTAGATTTTTACGCGACTCCACAGCCCTGGTTTCTAGTTTAAGCCGTGATGTGTATTTAACATTTTTTGACTCTGCCTATGGTTATTAGCGAGGGCCTTTTTCCAAGCCTATCGTGGGGATGGCCGTTTAAGGTATCAGTCTACCACTCGGGAAACTCTGGATCAAATTTGAACGAGTCAGAAAACCCCAGTAATTTTTAGGGGTGATCCGTATTTTTAGGCCCCGTGCCTCCTCTGTGGTAGTGTTACCACCCGTCTGGTTTTCACCCGGACAGTCCGGGGATTGACTCACTGTCCGGGTGAACTATTAATTTTATCCGGGAATTTCGTAGAAATTGAAATTACGATGAAACGAAGTTCTTGCAAATATGTTTACGAACTTACCTTATTTTAACAGCAAAGAACTCACACTGAAACTCATCTGCAATTCTGCCATGTTAGTCTGTTTACGCCGACTTGTAGAGCGCAACCCCTTGTTTTCTTTCTATTGATTGTACGATCTGCTTTTTATTTTGCTTGTATATCTCAAATAGAGCTAACTTATCTGTACCCGTTCATTCTTAATTTAAGTTACTTACGTTACTCCTACGCAAGTCCCTAGTCCCTAACTGTAACTGATTTAGAACCGGTATGCACGTTATTCTTCTCATTGTAAAATGACATTGCGCATGCGTCTGGAACTTCTGTTCGAACAAACCTGATGTGCCGTCCCAGTCAGCGATTTTCAAAAGGTAGCAACACTACTCTATGGGCTTGATAGAAAGGCCTAGTGCCCACGTGTTGGAAAGAGTTAAAAAAAAAAAAAGCCTATTATGGGATGGCTGTGTAGTGAGTTTGTTAAGTTAAGGCAACGCAACACTTGGGTGATCTGCCTAGGGGGTGTCTTCCGGGAGGTCTTTTAAGGGAAACTGATCCCTATTTAGGCGTTACAGACGTGGAGAAACTGAGCGAGGCGCGAACCCACGACCGAACTCCCAGTGTTCAGTATACGAAGACCGCTTGGTCACTGGTGGGCCTGGGTGATGAGAAGGGGCCAGACATATCCAGGACAAACACCTGAAAAATTCCTTGGTTTTTTTTTAACTTCAGATTCAATTTTGGATCCCCTTGAGCCGGTAGTATATTTAAACATGCAACGTAAGGGAAATGACATCACTGACGTCACTGAGCTGAAATCAATAAAACCTTTTTTTTTATAACTAGTAGCTACTGTTTTCGCAAATTAAGTAGCCTATGTTTTCCGTCGGAACGTAAAAAGAATATAATCAAAATTTTACTTAGATTGGACAAATAACAGGCGTTACAGGAAATTTACAATCACACAAACGATGACTTTTATACTACAGGATTAATAATGAAATGAGGAAAACTTCTTATTCCCTCATTACCTACAGTAAATATTGTGTGGAATATGAACTGCGAAATGTTTGACTTGGCTACTAGAAGGTTCGCATGAAAAATATAGAGGAGAGGGTATTATGGAATAGTCGAGGAATACCGAGGTTTTGGCTCTTGCTGATATTACGTGGGAATACCATGAACTACTCAAGAAAGACAACCACGATGCAGCGTAGTGAGAGTTGACCGCTTGTTGTCGTTGTATCACTCGCTAAAGAACAAAGTGTGTTTTGTGATTTTCAACAGTTTTTGCAGGCAAGTTTTCAAACATTTTAACCAACTAGTACACGTGACTCAACATTGATGTTAAGCATAATGTACGCTAAAAGAATTGTAGTTTGTTATACTGTAGTCGTTTTTTTAGCTGACAATGTTTTGTCCATTAGTTTAAAGGTTCATTTTCCAAGATGCGTGTCGGATATTATGGAATACTAGGATAAATGGATGAGATCGGATGGCCGAGCGGTCAAGGTGGCAGCCTACCGCTCTGGGGGACCCGGGCTCGAAT